CCTAGAGCACAAGCCAAACACCACCTAATGCTGTATTTTTTTCTTAAAGTACAGAGAATGCAGAGAATTAAGGGAAAAGCTCCACCACTGATACCACTGGGAAGAAAGCTGAAGCATTCATATCTCTATGTACTTACTGTAAAAATACAACTTTGTTGAATGCAAAGAACATCCCTTCAAGGGCCTTAATAAAGAGAAAAAAGGCCACATAAAAATGATTTGCAGTTTCCCAATGGGCACATCAATTTACTTAATTAAATATTACTTTCAAAGTTTCAGTCACAATAGCTCTTGTTCCTTGCCAGTTGCAGTGAGAAAGATACATTGAACAAGGATGTCAGCTGAATGCTAGCATTGATGTTAATGCCAACTGTCCCCAGCCTTGCCAAGTCACTGACGTTTAGAGCGAGGACTCCCTCATTTTCAGCTCTTTTTAAGGCTTTGTCAAAGCACTGAAATTCTGAGAGCCCATTTTTGTGTATTTTGCAGAGGCATATAAAAGCCTACCCTTTCAAACAAGAGAAGATCCATCTAAGCATCTGTGATGCTTAGGTCTCTCAACAGAGGGTACTTGTGTCACAAATTGTTGTTCTTTCCATTGTTGTCTACCAGATTTTGGTTCCCACATTTTGTTTCATTATATATAACATAACTTTGCAAGTGCAGTCATATTTCAATTCAGGTTAAAAATAAAAATTCTTCCTTCCCCCCAAATGCCAGTCATTCTCTGGAATCAATTACCTATATTCAAATCACTATACCTTGATACCCACTTTTTTTTGTTTGTTTCTCATTTCTGGACAGGACATAGAAACTCAGGTATATTCCATTAAGTAGATTTCTGTAGTTTTGCCTGCATCATCAATTATCTCCATTCTACTAAATTTTAGTGGAAGTTGTTTTCTTCTTCATCTGAAAGCTGTTTCCAAGTAGAGGAAGAATCCAAGAACAAAACCAGCTTGAGCAATGGTGTCTTGGTGTCTTTCTGCAGCTTTCTGAGCATCCGGATCGAAAAGTGATGTAGTACAAAGAGCAGTGAGACAAAAGTTTTTTTTCCCCCCATTTTCTTCTTTTTCACTTTCAGTGCTAGAGGCATAAAAAGCAGTAAAGAGGTGCCTCCAGCGACACTATTGTTCAGCTAGCACCAGGCTCACCTTCAATTTCCTCTGAAAAAGAAATTGCATTCATGACATTTCTTGCAAGAGGGTGCCTCAGACCAGACTATTGGTGGGGCTATCTTGCTCCTTATGGACTTTTAAGGTGAGATGCATAAAGAATTGGTCACTGATACTGCCTAATTGCTCTCTTTGTTGTCAACTTCATTCCAGAGCCAACTGCATTCTAATTTTAACATACTGAAGACACACGACTAAGACTTGTGTCTTCTCAAAATTAAGTGAACAGAATTTTGACATGTCCCTCTGAACATTCTCAAAATCTGCTCTTGCACTGTCACTCATCTAAAGTCCAATCTATAGAAAGCATACACAAAGTATAAAACCTCGTCCCTCTGAAATTATATTCAAGAACTCCTTTTTTATACTTTTTTCCTTTTTTTAAAAAAAGACACCTTAAGTTGATCCTACTTTAACGCCTAACATTAGGCAAGTGAACTTATTTGCTTGAACAAAAAATGAATTATTTTATAACATAAAGTCTAATCCATACTTGGGAGTTTATATTTTAGGATACATCATTTGTAACTTACTGAATAATGTTTTTCTTTAAAGAGGAGTGACCCCCTAAAAAGAATTATATGTCAAAATTCATTTATAGTCCATTATACTTAAGTGCAACACAAACACAGATCATGCCCAACAGACCCAGTAATAGTAAAAGTGAAGTTAAAAAAGCTCCAAATCTAGTCCTGATTCTCTTTGACACACATAAAACAACATTCCTTTTCGTATCTTTAAAACAACATTTCCTCTCATTTGAAGCAGCAACTTATCCTCATACTCTTATTATCTTTCCTGGAGTTAGTCTTTTAAGCAGAGTTAGAGTCTTCCATCCTAAATGTTTAATCTAAATGCAACCTCAGGCTTGGAACAAATGTCACTATGGTATAAAGTCATGGGAGGGGAGGAAAAAAATTCTGAACTGCCATTCTTCAGACCTACTGCTGTCAGAAGGAGAAGAGGGTGCTGAACACCTCATAAGCCTCAGTTCTGCAGTTTAACTTAATTACAATCGTATTTTTACTCAGAAAACAAAAAACAATAACTGAATGTCTTCTTCATGATTCCCTAGTGCATAAGTTGCATGTTGCATTTTCTCTCCATTGCTTTGTCCAGGCCTAAAGCCATAGAGAGGCTATTGCACCATTTCTTGGAGCATTTGTCCCAAAGTTTCAATGGCAAACCAAATGAGAAGCAGAGAATCAAAGGGACTATAACAGCAGAGGGTGATTCTCTCTGTTGTGAAACATCACAGCTTGAAATTATAATGAAGTTGTCATACAGCAAAAAGCAAACTTATAAATCATATTACATACAAAAATGTTTTGTATTCTTAAACTCCTGATATCTTAATGAATTCGTGAGGCAATTTTAAGTAACTACCACCACGAAACTTTGCCCACAGAACCAAAGAGGCTGTATGAACAGCGTGGGAAAGAAGGACCAAGTGTTAAGCTCTTGAATTAACAGGTGTGAGCATGGTGCCTTTCACGTTTTAAGCATCACCTGGTAGGTAGACTGTGGTCTCGTCTTCCCTACCACATTCTTGCCACTATCCTGTAATGCTGGCTAACATCTGAGTGACTTCTGTTTCTGCTTGTAAAATAATATAACATTTTCAACCTGATGGCCCAGCTAACATACAGTGTTCAAATCATCCTACAGTCCCTTCTATTTGTTCTGCCAAAACCTATGAGACTATAAAACCATTTCTGTTTTTCTTTTATGAGCAAAAGTATTCGCATAAATCAGAAAATCTGCTATTTCCTGAGATCTACCTACAACCCAAACAGATCCTAAAGTCTGGCATTTCAGGAATTGATTAAATGGTGTAAACTGTCCTTTATTGAACCCTGAAACAGAGAAAGCCTAACAGCACTTATGCAATATAGTGCCAATGGCCACTGTTATTTAAAGAGTCTTTCATGTGCTCTGAACACTGCTCATATGCAGTGCAACTGTGCTGTTTGATGTGCTGGAAGGCAGCAGCTAACTGCACAGTTGTGGAGAAGGAAGAAGGTAGTGACCCAGTGCAAAAACCCAGCTCATCCAGAAAATGCTATATGATCCTGAGTGTTTACATAGAGAACAGGCAGACCTTTTTGTTGTTGTTGTTCTCAGGGACTCATCAGAATGCCCTATGCCACAGCAGAACCCAGAACTTTGCTTCTCTTCTTCCAAAGAATAAAGGGTTGAGTCAACTATTGCTACACAAGACCTGCAATCCCAAAGAGGCTTTCAGGTAGCAGCTGTGTCTTTCCCCTTCAACACACTTAAAAAATATATATATAAATAAAAATAAAAAATCTAAAGGTCTTCCAATATAAGCTGCTCTTGAGAGCACTACATTGTGCTATGCTTTTTCATTCATACTTCTGTTTTTATCAAGCAAGGATGACTAATGTGCTATTGTAATGCACTTTTTGCAAAAATGTGACCAACTGAGGCTGCTTCCACCATAGTTGCATGGGTGTTTAACATTAAAAAAGAGCCCTCAGCTGGGCAATGGGCGACTCATTACCCTGTGCTTTAAAACAACAGGCATCATACATAAACCATGCTCTCATGCAAATTTGACCTACATAATGTTGAAATCTTCCAATGACAGGACGATTTCACAAGCAATCCCATGTGTCCCATAGCTGTAAACGTGGTGTTACTTTAGCACCACAGGAAGCACCACATTTGCCACAGAGCTTATCATGGCGTGTTTCTCGCAGTTTGGCCAGGAAATCTAGATGGCACTTCATCCCATGTCAAGAAATATTTTTCCAGCTCAGTTTACAGACATTTTAACCACCTTGGAAAGACTGTAGCAATTATTTATGCCACCAATACATATGGATTATATATATGACATATAACCTTTGACTTCAGCTTGGCCAGGATTTTGCTCCTTACCCCTACAGAACCACTGAATACTTATTTTAGATGCTATCATACATTTGGTGATAATGATAGGCAAAACCAAATGGCATCCCCAGAGCACAAGTGATAAGAAAGAGACTGGTGTTTTGTTATGAGAATGTTTTGTTATGAGAATGACTAAAATGAAACCTGGACTCTCAAGCATCACTCTAACACATTGCTGACCTCATACACAGTGGCCAGAGTATTTTAGAGTGACTCTGCTTCAAAACTTTCACTGAATTTCAATGCTTGAGTTTGAATGGGGCCTTGATTTCTCTAGATTGAAACCTGATAACTGTCTGCCTTGACAGAAAATTGTAACAGGTTTTGCTAGTACTAGCACTTAGTAAATTCAATCTAATTTCACATTTTTTATTTCACTTTTTAAACCATTTTTCATCCCAACACAATGACTTTTCTGGAATACAAGGACATGAAAGTATACATTAAGATAGGCATCTATCCCAAATCCATTCTGACTTGTAAACCGAGCATGTAGGTCAATAAATTTTGTTGTAGCACAAGCCTTTAATTCACATTTCACATTTAAAGAACTACACTTTTTCACTTCTCTGCCAAACAAACCCTTGTCTTCCCTTTCTTTTGCAGAAGTCTTGCTGTTTCAAAACTAGTTCTAACACTGGGCACTTCTATGCAGAAAAGGCCTCCTTATTTTTGACTGTGATATTCACATGGGCCTCAGGTCACCTGCACAAAAAGCTTATTAAAAGAACGCTTTTGAATAGCAGCACTAGATAGTAATACATACAATGTTTAGCCACAGTAAATACAATCACTTATTCATTTCATCATGGAAAGCTTACACTTACTCATGCCTCATTAACCTAAAAATCCTACCAGCACACTTATCATCATACACTGCCTTTGTGCTTTAAAGGAAAGTTTTCTTACCCTAATCAAAGTGATGAAATGCTCCTCTGAATCATTTTATTACACGATACATGCCTCCACCTTATAAGGATGCCTTAAAAGTCTTCTTCCTTATTAGAAGCAGGGAAAAAAAAAAAAAAAAAAAAAAAAAACTTTTAAATTGGATTGACTAGTGTCTTGGGCACAAATCAGCCTTATCTAAGACCTTAAAATGTTACTACTCTGTCACAAGATAAATGCCTTAGAAGTTGACAGTCTTCAAAACATTTGGCAACTAGGCACGTTGCTCTGAAAATTACTATTGCTCTTGAAGCATCTTCTAAACTAAAACAGAAGCTTAGACTCAATTCCAAATTCAGAATTAATTATTTCATCCATATTAGGGATTTCTATACGATATTTCACACTTGCCCTAAATAATACCTTTTATGCCCTCAGTAAAAATTCCTTGAATTGGAAAAAAGATTGTGAATAACAAAATCCACAGGAGACATCAATGGAGAAACATTTACAGCAGAGAGAGCTTCATATCAACTATCCAGGCTTGAGGAGAACAAATTTAAGATTATTCTTACTAGTATGCAACCATGTAATGCATTCCACTGACATACATTCTGTACTAACTGTTGCAAATAAATATACCCAGAAATACTCAGATTTCCTTTTTTCCTTGCTCATACTTTCACTTAACAATCTCAATATGAAACATAAAATATACAGAGGCAAAGAGAAACTAGCTACTTACCTGGTTCTAAATTTGACTATATTTCACTGACACATTAATAATCATCTTAGCAAGTGGGACAATAAAGGTTTGAAAACGTTCTTACCCTGCTTACTGAGCAAGCATACAACTGTTGCCTTCATTGTCTTACTGGTCTGAAAGAGAATGTCACTGCTGAGAGGAAAAATAAAAATAAAGAAATCTAAACTTGCTTGCTTTATTTCACCATATAATTTCATTGAAGATCATGAAATGACCCTTCTCATGAAGATTATTTGACATAATTCATACCACAAATAATCCTATTTACAGCAGGTGAAAAGGTACATATTACATTCAGCTGTGAAACAAAATGCAAATTGTCCCACTTTTTCTCCTTCATGACTGACTTGCTGCACAGCAATTTTCTAATGTTCTTGCTAACAATAGCAGACAGGAAGAATGGAGTTCAACCTAGTTTATGTTTAGGAAGAGGAGCACTGATTTCCTACAATTACTCCTTGAATACAGCATTAGGCCAAAGGAGCAGCAGGGGAAACAATGGAGGTCTTCCATGTGCGTAAGAATATTGTTTCTGTCCTTTGAAAGCTTGTCATTAGACAATCCACCAACATAAAGGAGACTACAGGAGACAAGAAAAACAGTGATCTGTATCTAGTGAAAAACAGCAAAATTACAGAACATTTGTGCCACGTTTATCACCATGGAATGATTTCTCACAAATTGTTCCTGGTTGTTTCCAGAGACAAATAAAGGCAGCAAATCAGAAAAGTGGATCAGAAAGGAAATACCCTAGGGTTGTCTTGGCACTTGTAGACCCCATCACCTTAATGGTTTGGTTCAGTAACCTGCCAAAAAAGGACTCATCTTCTGCCATACCAGTCAACTGAATGACTGTAAGACAGCGTCCTGTGTACACCAGAGCCAGCAGCAGGGAAAGGGAGGGATAGGAACAATTTCTCAAAAATAAGCCACTAGATCCACTCAGTTACACTCTTGAGCCAAAGCACCCAGCAGTTTCTGCCCCTCTGCCACCATACAGACTGCTGGCAGAACAATAACAACAACAGAGTTTACATTTTCTCACCAGATATTCTATATATTAACTTGATGCCATGCATTTCTGGGGAGACTCTCACAATAAAGTGTATTTCCAATATGAGAGCAAAGAGATGGAAGAACAGATGGAAGATGCTCTTTGATTAAAGTACTGATTGGTATTTGGGAGATCTGGGCTATTGTCTGTGTTTCTTTCTTGCACCCTGTATGACTGCAGATCACACGTGTTCTAATTTTTTTTTCCTTTTCTATATAATTGGCTTGTCTAGAGAGAATACGATCTCTTGTACTTTAACATAAGCTTTTCAGGGCAGAGTTTGCTTCTCAGTAGATTTATTTTAGGAGTGGGCTCATCTGTAGTGCATAAAAGTAGTTGGGCTCATCTGTAGTTTGCTCATCTATAGTGCAAAAAAAGGCTGGGCTGAGAGGAAATATCAGAATTGGAAGAGGAAAGCATGTTTTAATTCCATTGCTTTATGTGGAGACATACTTCTAAAATAGTTCTCCCATGTTTTACACATGCAATCAAATCGTATTTTAGCAAACACAAAAAAGGCATGCAGTCCAATATACACCTATGTTAAATTGTACTTATGCATAAAATAAGAACATTGTCCCTCTAAAGCAACAGTCCCCTCTGTTCTTTTGATGTATTTCCCATCCAAAGAAAGAACTAACTTCACAGAACCACAGCACTGACAAAAACCAATATATTGACTTGTAAGATGCAAGCCCAAACAAATTGCACAACACACATATTGGAGTTAAGCAGTGATGACGCACAGACTGTACTACACAAAAGGGAAGGGTCATAGCATACAAATACACAAAGGGGCTGGAAATTAATTGTCAGACATTTAGATATTTGTTCCTTCTTTACATTCTTGGACCTTGGACTTAAGCACTTTGATGTTTATTAGTTTATTGTTTTTATCAGTTATAAAATTAACTAATCTGTCTGCAACAGTTAGCGTCTGTTATTTTAAGCAATCCTCATGAGAAGTGCAGAACAGAAAATTCAGACTCCATGGCCGAAGTATAATGCATTGCATATAAATAAACACAGACTCATCCATGCCACAAAACACAATGTTCATACCAAAGAATGCCAGTAGGCCAAGTTGTACATCCTTACAGCACTGTAACAACTGAGGACTACCAAGATTCCTCCCAACTTCATAATTCTCCAGCAGCGTGACTGAGTGAACACATCTGAAGGAGGAGGGATCCTGATGGAGAGATAGGCACGTGTAAGTTGATCAACAGTGAATGACCAATATGGTTGATTCACTCCAGACTCTCTGGCCTTTTGATGTTGATTGTAAGAATGAAGGCATCTATTTGTGTGTTTAAAATTGCAATAAAAGCCCTAATTTAGAGTTGCTTCTTTCAACACTTTTAATAGCAGGAGGCTGAAAGGTTCAAAGTAACGAGCTTCTCTCTCAGAGATCCAAGGTTAAGCAAATAAAGTTCCTTAAGTCTCAATAAGCTATTATCAGCAATAAAAAACCCAACCATATAATGATAGATATGGCCACATAAAAGCAACCAGACTGAAGAAACTGGAAAAGCTTATCAAAGTGAGGGGAGGAAAGCAATTCCTGGTCAATATCAGCCCTGATCCAGGACAGAAACCTTCATCTGTTGCTTTTATTTGTTGTTCTTCAGCCTATAAAAGGCACAAATAACCGGTAGATCACTGGTTTACATAGAGCCCCAATGATAATATTAGAAGTAATTCCACTTCTGAGGTGCAGAAAACTTAAAAAGCTTGTGTTTAGATAATGGAAGACTCACACATTATTATAATATCACACTACCACCAACAACAGCATTTTACTTTCCAAAGACACTCTCCTCAAGTACCTCAAAAGCTGTGGTGAACACCAGCGCACGAACCAGTGGGGCAGCTAAATGTTATCATTCCTCTTTATACTTTACTTCAGTGCAGAAGTAAGCCTAGAAAATAAATAAATAAATAAATATTTAGGTCTTCTGAATCCCAAAGCCTTTGCTGTCCTTCTCCAGTAACGTAGATCTGAATCCAAGAGGAAAAGTGTTGAGACCTACCCATAATAGGCTGTGCTGAGGGAAGCAGCTGAAGCAGAATGGGAAAACTGCCCAGGAGATGCCAGTGTAAACAGAGCTGGCAAGGCCCCTGCCTTACGTGATGGAGAGGAAGAGCTGCATGATGCTTCAGACCCACGACTCTCCTGGCCGAGCCACGCCGGCTGGGCAGCTCAACAGACCTGCACCACTTCTGCAGAGATGCACACTGCTCAAAATGCTGACGTGATGCACACTCTGCCCAAAACGTCATCTGTGTAAGCGTGGGTAGTGACTGCCTCAGATGACCCTGCTGCAGCCAAGGAAAGGAAAGAGACAAACAAACAAACTTAACTCATCTTTCTTGTGTAGACAGGACTTTGTAAGTAATGCAGGGCTTCAACAAAGTGAGGTTCATACTCAGGCCTAATCTCACCATATTTTGGAGGCCACTCACATAGATGGTTTTATGCTTTTAAGTTATTACTTAATTTGGAGAATAATCATTTTTAGGTGTCTCCAAAACCATATCTGTAATCTACTTAGTCTTGCAGACATTTCCTGTGGGGACTTCCATACAGACCTCTATCCACTGAGGATTTTAGGATTCTCTAATTGCCAAGGGGTTGCAAACAGCAAAGAGGAGTCTAAAAACCTTAATATTGACTGAAACATGAAAAACAAACCATATTATCCAGTTAAAAAACATGTCATTCTACAAACTTCTAGAGGCTTCTTTCTTTCAGGAGCTGGCAGAATTCAGTATATTGGGGTGATGGCATACACTCGCTTCCCCATTGCTCCAAGAGTTAATCATTAGACTATTACCAGTAATGGTCAAAATACCAAGAAGAGAGCTAGTATTTTCTGTCAAAGGTCTGGGAAAATAACATAGATGCAAAGTCCAAGCCCCATTAACTCAGGGAGATGAAAAATGCAGTTTGTTCCCACTGAGATGGCCTCGAAACATACAAAGCAGTTTCTAATTTGTTTGAGAATGCACTTTAGGTTTCAATTTAATAGGTGCTAAGTACATGCAAACAGACATACCATAATTAAGGTGATCAATCTGCAAGAAGGAAAGCACATAAAAAGAACATCATACTTAAAAGAGTTAAGTAATCATAACAGCAATTATTAATTGCATTATAATTAATAATTATAATGTAATAGATCCTTGGCTGTTCTTTTGCAAGGAGCTTAAAATCATTTCCAGGTACTACATTAAGTTGTGCAACTGAAAAGCATTCTTGAAACAGCTTTTCAGCAGCAAATCCCATTTCAGCAAAACTTTTTTTTTTTTTCACAGAATAGCAAAACCCCAAATGAAGCATTTTACATAGTACATAAGATGTTTTATGACTGAGCATTAACAGATCTGTAGAAGAGGAAATATTCTGTAATGAAAATTTTAATTATTTGGTTTTTCATTATGATTAAATTGGAGGCTAAGATTACATATTTACATACATCTATAAAGTTACGTTCTCTATTAAATAATTATATTCACATATGTATAACATTTTAATTTCCACAGGTTTTCTGGGACAAAAATCATTTTTCCCACCAGTTCTATTCTCAGACACTCCCAGAGACAAGCACTGCAGTTGTTAATTTACAGATGGGGAAACTGAGATCCAGATTTAAGAACTTGTCCGAGAGTCAGTGGCAGCTTGCTTTGCTGCAACAGGGCAGGAACTCATAAGGAGGTCTGCTGTGAAGTGTCAGAGGTGGTGCATTCATGTCATGCTGACCTGGCATTGTGCAGAGCCGCCTGCGTGCACAGGCTGTTTGAGCAAACACTGCTGCCTCGTCCCCCGTGGCTGGCGGACGTGGGTTTGTGCAGGGGAGTAAGAAGGGGGGCGACGTGGGGACTGGCTCTCACAGACAGCACCCTAACATGGATTTTATAAGATGAATGCAAGTATAAGATGAAAGCAAGTACCTTATCATGCTTATTTGTCCAAATTAAAATCTATCATGCCAGGAAGTTGTGCATCTATTCTTTTTAAATGACCAAAAAAAACATGATTTTGGAAAGTATAAAAGAAAAAAAAGTAACTTTACTAGCATGGGCCTCATATTATGCATTTATCCAGTTCCAAACAGTGAAACCACTCAGTACATTTTGTTTAATTACCATTTGAGTCTGCTCATGTTTGAATCCACTGTAAAATTGCATCAGTAGCTCAAGGACATGGCCAGCTTCTTTGCTGGAACCCTGGAGTGGTCCCCTGAGAATACACCAGCTACAGCCAGGAGAAGCAGCATCATAACTATTTTCTCCACCTCATGTATTAGAGAAATAAAAAGGAAAATGACACTTTCACATATTCATCTACAATTCCTTTTTTTCTTCCCTCTCATGAAGTCATACAACCACATAACACACTTACATCACTGCCAAAATTCAAAACCTATAAATAGGGCTATATCCTTTGGTTCAAATTGAAATATGGGATTCTTTTGAAAAGACAGAGAGGAAAATAGAAAATTTATTACTCAGAAAAATAAACAATGTCCCTTCTATACAGGCATTGTAGCACATATGTTCAACAGTAACCAAATGTGATGTCAAAAACAAAACAAAACAAAAGAAAGAAAGAAAAGAAACAAGAATTATGATATTTGGGTGAGGATATAAACGGCAGGAACAGACGAGCAGTTAAAAATAAAGAGCCTATTATATTCAAATGAAACAAAGAATGAGGAGAGAAAATAATAGGCTATAAAAAATATATCTGTCAGCGAAGCTGTTTTGGGACTGAACGTTTCCCCTGTGAGATTCTCAGGAAGCACCAGGCACCCTCCAGGTTTAAAGCTTTCATCCCTGGGCTCCCAGCTATATTGGTTTCCTGTATAAAAGGAATTGAGACGAGAAGAAAACATTTGAGCGACTGCCCCAGCAATCATACAATGTTTTATACTTTGTGGAGCCCTGCCTAACACAACAAAACTGAGTATTGTTACAGAGGACTCAAAGAGTCCAACCAATTATGTCCCTTCATGGGTTCGGCTATACTAGCCTTTGATCACCAGCTCTAACTACCAGCAGTAAAGCAAACACAAATCTGCAGACAGCATCAATAAACCTTGCAGTGGGAGGGAACAGAGATACTCTGTGCCCTGTTGGCTTTTTCTTTTTTTTTCTAAATCCCCAACAAAAATATCTACCATTTGTCTTTTCTAATTCACAGGCAGAGTCAAAGTGAGGGAATGATAACTTTGCTCACTTTTTAAAGTCAATCACATGGCAACAAACAGAAAATTTAGCACACATCTTCATAAGAATTCTCTAACCCAGGCAAAATCTGGTCTGCTAATTACCTAGAATTCATCTTTGCCCTTATTAAACTCTGGTTTTACACACATATACACACACACATACATATATATATATTCATATGTAATATGTACATGTATTAATGATGAAACAGTTTGTAGAAACACTTCTGTCTTTACTTCAGTATTTAATGTGTCAGTCCTTTCCTGAAGATCTTCCTGCAAAACACCGCCTGAAAATGCCACATTTGCTGGCTATTTGTGCTATTTACACGGCGATCCCACAGCACAGTATTTAGGCAGTGAAGTGGTTTGGGGTGGCTGTGTGCTGAATATTGCTCACCTAGCACTGTAACTCGGGCTTCATGTTCCCACAAGGCTTAGGTTCAACAAGGCAGACCTCCCGTACCCAAGGAGCACTGAATCTTTTGAGGCTTGGAGGTACTGCTTCAGCATAAAACCACAGTGGTTTTCATCCTGCAGAACAGACAGGTTGGAAGCAGAGATCTGAACAAAAGATTAGGAAAGGCAGCCTGGTCCAGCGGTTAAGCCACCAGCCAGGGACCAGCAATCCCTGCACTGCCTGTGACAGTCTACGCAGCCAGTGTCAATGCACAGATGCACCTCGGCCTCGAGCCACAGAAATATGCTGGGCCTGCATGACCCTGAAACCATTTAGAGTCAGGCATCAAAGTACCTTGGAGGCTCTGGCGCTTGTTTACTCTGTGCTGCAATAACTGTCTATAAAATGCAAGATAATAACATTTGCCTATCTCATCAAGTGCACCAAACACCCACTGTGACAAGGACATCCCGCACACCTGCTAAAGCTAGGTGCTGTACTGCTCTGGAGAGGAATGAAAACAGCTGAGGCTTCACATCAGCCTCGTGCCACACGTCTAGCCTGAGAGGGGCATGGTCCATGTAAGAGCAGGAAGCTGCAACCTCACGGACTGGGAAGAATGAAACAAAAACCAACTCTGCCCCCCTCGTATCTGTGGGCAGATATTTCTTAATAACCGGTGGGTGCTAACTGCGCTCTGTGCCTGTGTCTGCTTTGCGTGGCCCATGATTCAAGTCCTGCCATGGCACAAAGCACTCGGTTTATTCAGCTGCCTCTCCCTACTGGCAGAGCCAGTCCTCCCTGCCTTCTCTCCCAGCTCTGCTGCTTTACACACCTCACCGGGCACTGCGCTTGTGAGAGGCTGCTGCTCCCGTGGCTGGCTGGCAGGAGCCCTGTCTCTCATGTGTAAATAAAGGAGAGACAATGCTTTTCTAACCACATTGCCCAGAAAATAAGGATCTATTTAAAATTTTCCATGATCTCTTCAGGTAAAAATTTACATGCTGTTATTTAAAGCAGTCTGCAGCAACCCTGCCAATACAAAATGGAGGGTGGGGAAACCTGAAGGAATATACCTGCCATGGCAATGGGAGGTAATCCTGACTTGTAATGTGCTGAAACGGGAACGAGGTGACTTGGGTTCAATTTCCAACTCACTATAAACTTTGCACATGTTATCACCTCATCTTCCCAATACCCATGCTCCCCTTGTGCACGATCCGGATCATCTTTACTCTCGTCATTTGTCTTATCTACTCTGAATATAATCGGGAAAGTAATAGTTTCTTTTTGATGAGAGGATCTACAGCCCCTACCGCAAGAATTCAGTGAGTGAACACCTGAAGCATTACTATTAACACACAGCCACAGCCTTTTCACTTCAGTAGTGCTGCTTACATCTGAATGAAAAAGTAGTGCATGCCAAACAGGTAGTAAAAGCCAAAACACATGGGCAATAGCCAAAAAGGCAACTCAAGCTTTGTAATTTACAATCTGTTAAATTCATGTCTTTACATTGTTTAAGAGTCTGCATAACTTCTAAGCAAACCCCCATGAGAAAAGAAGAAACAAAGCACTAAGGAGAGAAAAGTCAAAGAAAATTCAGGCATAGAATGAAGACGGAGCAGAAATGAAAACCAAACCAAACCCTTATGTAGAAATGGGATAGGTAATACTGTATCTATAGCAAGCAAAGATGCATTTAAATAATTACAGCCCTATAATAAATTGGAAACACAGTAGATTCATGAGTGAGACACAAGGTGAAATTACATCTAATCTGGTGATTCATACTTACTCAGAAAACCTGGTTGTTACTATACGAGTTGATGCCAGGCTGCATTTTATTCAAACCAATAAAATCTTTTGTGTGGTCTCTTGACCTCACTAATTATCTAATTTACATTTAAGACAATAATGCTGCTTAGTAATTTAAAAAGGAAGTGTTCCCACCCCGGTGTGTTATCCCTGCATCTGCTCTGAAGAAACTTTAGACTGCAGAATGCTGCAAGTGAATAGGAGTTCACTACAACCCAGTTCGTAATTATCGTTCTTAATTGGTTGAGCTCCAGAGTGTTTAAGGTTTTACATATCAATTCTAACCGGCATGCTCAGAAGAGACAAAATCTGGAGTTATCCTGAGTTACGTGATCCTGTGGAGTTTAGAGGAAAAGTAAAAGTCTCTCCCAAGCAGGCCCAGGGTACTAGGATGCAATCCAGCAATGTGCAGACACTTAGCACCTTTTCATGGCCTTGCATTTAAAGCCCCAAACCCACCTCAATAGTCTGATGGCCAAATGTCAGTACAGAATTGAAAGTAACAGAGGCTGGGACCAGCGTGCAGTGTTCCAGCTTCTCATCTTCAGCCAAACCTTACTGTACTAGAGACAGGAACTGAAACGGAGCTGAAGTCAGTAGCCTGGTTTTTCAACTTCACATTTCCCTTTCAGTCGCTGTAAAGAACTGCAATGCATTATATATATATATATATATATATATATATATATATATATATGTATATATACAGTTGCTAAAACAGGTATAAAAACATCTCAAAATGAAGTTGATCTCCTAAATGTGATGTTTGGTGAGTGTTACCATACTGATAGGTAGTCGTCCGACAGCTAGGGTCACTTCCATCTGGAGTCACTGCGTGTATATGAACTGAAAGCAGAAGCTGGTTCAGGCCACAGAGTGCATCAGGAATTACCAGTATCACTGGTTAACATGCTTCTGTTCAGTCTCCTGTTCTGCCACTCGGTTTCCCCAGGTGCGAGGCCACCCACCTCTACTCCATGCCACGTTCCAGTGCTGCCTCACTTGTATCAGTGCGTCTTCATGGGTTATCAATAAAACAGACTGGATTTGCAGATCTCAGCTGATAAGAAAACAAAGTTTTTGCTGCTGGATTTTCTGTGCTTGATGTTTAACCTGGACCATTTCAGCACAGCCCCGCAAATGACCGCATCAGCACAACCAGAGTAGTGCAGGAACAGCAACAAGCATCATGGGTGGAAAGTGGGAACTTCTTAGAATTTGTCTCATGTCAAATCCAGTTTATTTAATGTCTCATTACATCCTCAAAGTTACCAAAGAAGGAGGGAAGGAAATAATAATTAGTCTTCAAGAAAAGATCTATATTGCTCATACTTACCCAGGAAACATGACATGGACATATATAAACTTTCAAATTCTGCTCTGTACAGAAATCAAGGAATTGCTCCTTAAATGATTCCTGGGAGCCAACTGATCATAACAGATTTAACCTTCTCAAACTTGCCAGTTCCTGATACACTTCCTGTTTTTTTCCCCATGTGATGCTGCATTCCTCCAGAGTCATAGAGCTAAACCTGCAGCACCATGCAGAGGAATGCTTCCTTCAGCTTGCAGTGTACAACTGCAAACATATCTCAACTCTCAGAGGTGCCAAAAGCAGCTCATACCACAGGGGTGAAGAGGACTCAGCCCTTTTATAAAGGAGTGTACACAGTTCCCACCCCTACAGCTGCAGTTTTCCCCTACTAACAGCCCAGTCTGGGTCCTCTCTCACTTGAAAAATTTAATATAGCTCAGCATTGGTTCACAAATTTATAAAGGCTACAGAGAAGGTGAATGAGAAGCAACCATTCACTTTATGTTTGACACAAGAAATAAGGTACACCTAATTAATTTTTAAAAGAGCACATTTAAAATAACACCGGATAAGACCAAAAGCCTCTGCAATGGGTTGTTGCAGAGACATTCAAGATGAGACTTTGTCAATCCCCTTGTAGGATAAGTCCCCTGGTAACCACTACCATTTGGATGCAACCCACAGCACCAAAGTCCTGTTCTCCTGCAGCTGTGAGAGCGTACTGCATAAGAGCAGCACTATGCACACCACTTCTGCACCCTCACCAAAGCTGTTGCCCCCATAAGACAAAGTACAGAGTAAGAGGGGTGAGATGGACTTTTGGTCAGGAATAGCATGGCTTTTCTGACTGAAGCACATTTATATTGTCATTGCTTGTGTTTGGCTGTCACATCTATGGAGACTGCAAACACTGGGCAATTTTCCTCTGGTGCGTACACAGAGCTAGGCACAGCAGTGCTCCTATCATGATTGCAGCCTCCTGATATTACTGCAGGGCAAACATGGTAATATTAACAATTAGTCAGTGACTCAGATAAGGCTCTCACAGATATAAATTCCCCATCCAAATCACTGAGGTTGCATGGTAGTATAAACTCTTCTGACAAAAAAAAACTATACCACTCTTCCTCACTATGTGTGTTCTCACCCTCTCCCACAATCACTTACATGATCCTACAGGGCAGGTTCACAGGCTCAGCTCTTCTTTTTCAGGTTACTTTTTGGCTGGATCATCTCCCAGAAACACTGCAATAGTCACATGAGCATTGGGGCTGGTGCAAAAGAAGTGATAATCGTGAATTACTGCAGAGGGGAGGTAAAGAAAGGATAAGACCTGACACGGAGTGTGTCCTAAAGCTTGATTAAAAGAGAAGGCTGTGGGCATTGTGAACCAAAGGGGGTTTTCTAAACCACAGAATTGCATAGCCCCCGCCTCAGAGAGTCCCATACTGAATTTCTCTGAAAAAAAAAAAAAAAAAAAAAAAAAAAATAGAAAAAAAATGTAGAACCAGGCTGTGGAGAGACAAGCAGATCAGAGACCTCCAGTGGGCATATACTTGGCAGACTGTGACAACTCCAGACAATTACAAAGCAACAAAACTGCCAGAAATTAACTGCTATGCACAAGAGGAGCCCTTCCAAACACCTGTGTTTGGCCCCTAAAAACAAATTATAGTTGAGAGGTCTCTGATAACCCCCTCATCTTCAGAGGTTCCCATTGCATACAAAACTGATCAGCAAAAAAACAAGGGAAACAGATTTATCTCAGACATCTTCAGCAACTCATTTTGCTGCTGCTCCAGGCTCCAAGTACAACTCTTGTTTGCAGAGCCTTCACATGGCCCAAGCACACCAGCTGCCCAAAAAGAAAATTGCTTATAATTTTACTGATAGACTTCTCTGCTCAGAGAAGCTTTTCATTTTTCAGATATACATAAACCCTTTCATTCTCAAAATGTACCTCTCAACAGAAATGGCCATCAAGAGTAGACAGTAATGAAAAGCTGTAAGTAATACTGGGCTACAATTTATATTCACCAAAACACTTGGAGCTATTTAAGGAAAAACTCAAGTACAAGTAATTCCTCCTCTGCAGAGAGCTGGGGCTAACCAACACTTCAAGAGGTTAGAAAATCTGCCCAAAACATATCTAAAGTCCCACAACCAGAACAAGAGGGAACAAATCAGTCTCTACGGACAAGTGGCTTGTCTCCTTGCTCCAGGTAGTCTGAGCACTTTCCGTCAGTGGAAAGCAGAAAGGCCAAGGTTCAGCAGGAATGCTCTGGAGATAGGGAACCAACTCTGGTCAGAGCCAAAGGACTGTGATGCCTTTCTCCCAGGTACCTCTGGAACTACCTTAAACCTTAACCTAGCTTTCTATTTAAACTGATTTACATTTGTTCTGCTTGATAATGAACTTAGCCAAAGCTGTTTATAAACCCTGGGAGGATTCCCCAGCTGGCTTTGGCTCAGATCCTTTTCTGATCACAGGGACATAAGGCCCAGAGTTTGGCCGCCAGTCATATTTCAACAGCTATTGATCACTGTGATTTTTGTATTACAGAGACTATTCCAAATAGTTAAAAAATTCCCCCTCTAGCCCCTCAAGTTTAATTTCTCCCATAGAAAAAAAAAAATAGAATCAAAGAAACACTGACATGTTTCTTCAAATCAAAACATTGTCAGATCAGACACTGGCACAAGTTCAGACCTCACATTTGTGGGGCTGGATCAAAGCGGAACCCCAGACCTAAAACCCAAGGAATGAACAAGTCTGGATCTCTGTGCTGTTTTTTGTTTTTTGGTTTTTTTTTGGAAACTAACATCTTTCCTACCATGTACATTTCTTGAAGGTAAGGGCTTAGGCGTTTCCTAGCATAGCAGGATGATACAGCAGTGCAGCATGGATACAGAACAACAACCAGCAGGACTTGGGGGAACTGGGAAGGAAAAGAAAGAAGCAGCCCAGAGAACTAGTGAGGGCAGATAGCTGGAGGGAAAACTGCCTGTGTGGGGATTGCAATGCATCAAAGAGGTGTTGGAAGCCTTTGGCAGGCGGCTACTGCATCGGCCAGTAAGCAACAAACACCCTCTTTAACCACTTAAAATGATGATCTGAAGGGAGCTCCTGCGGCCCTGAGGCCCTGCTCAATACCTGCTCTGAAAGTCGCCCTTCTCCCCACCCTGCCTCCTGTGTAAAACACCAGTAAAGCACTGAGAAATGCGGCACAGGGACAGCACTTGTGGAGACCTGCCCAGGCATTTTTAATCACAGCGCTGTCTGAAGCTGCTGTGAGCAGATTACATATGCAGATGCAAAAGTGCCTGGGGTGAAATCCCAGCCCTGTCACATTAACAGCACCCATGCTCAAAGGCCTGCCAGGGCTTTTCACAAAAACAGGACTGTGCACACAATTTTGGCTGTATGCAGAGAAGCAAGGAAAACTATTTAAGCCTGGCCTAGACTAACATAAATAATACCCAGTAAAATGCCACGAGGCTGAGACATTTAGGTCTATAGGCTCTGCAAGGGCCTGCACCTCATGCAAAGCCCTCATAGGACTCTGCAAAAGGCTGACAACTGATGATACTGTTGGCACTTAGCTCTTTTCAAGATTTTATTTCTTGTATCAAGAAAAGCAGTGAAAGATCTCTTATTCTTTGTGGACTGTTAAACACACACACACATATATATTTATATGGTTTTCTTTCTTGTACTTCAGTCAGCCACAATTTGCTCTCCTCCTATAGAAACCCAAGCGTGACAACCTAGATAGTGTCACTGAAAGCATGCAGGACCAGGGGAAGGTAACTACAATGCTCTCTATTTAGTTTGCCTTAGCTCAAGTGAAACAACAAAAAAAAAAGGGGGGGGGGGGGGGAGGGAAGGGGAAGAAACATGTAAAACAGAAAAGGAGAACAGATCATTTTTGCATCTGCAAAGAGGGAAATGCTATAGGGTCCCCATCTAGACTGTCATTATGAAGTCCACTGTAGCAAAGCTGAGGAAGAACATCATCAGGGGATTTGGAAAAGAGTATCAGCATACATCACATATTTTATAGCAATTCTTGGTTAAAACTGATCACCTAGACTTAGTCCCATTGGGCTCCAAGTTCAGATTTTGTGGATACTCCCAATTTAATACAGATTTACCCAATTTCCAGCTTTAGAGCACACCCATCTTTTGGGAGGGCTTAATTGCGGAGACCAGGTGGCCTATGCCTGTGTATTTTAGCTAGGCTAGTCATCAATCCCTTTGCAAAGATGCAAACATACCACAATTCTGTAGCACGTTTGCCTTACCCTGTAACGTTAGCAAACAAGGGTGACCACAGAAAGCATGCCAGGCATTTCCATTCAGCTGCTAAATCTGAAACATTTTGCTTATAGAAAGTCTGCCAGTTATAAAAATAACTTCATTCCAGGTGGTTAGCGGTGGGTTGAGGGCGGTCAATGGGACATCGGTAATGCTGTCCACACACAAACATCATGTTTTTGCCAAGAACATTAAAAAAAATCTGGATGACATATGAGGAACACCTACAATTTTCTGTGCATGACCCACCAAATGTATTGCTCCAGCTGATCTGAATTATATCCTACATTTGCAGATTTATTTCAAAGGACATTTATAACTAAAAGAGGAAAAACCTGAAATGAGAGTCTTATAATTTCCATAGAGTCCTCCTTTCTGTGAGTAAAAGCTATTGCTTCTTTTGAAGACAGGAGAGATCAAAATGCTAATACCAACACCATGTGAAAACTAACTTCCAGCTCAGGTCAGAGCAGAATACTTTCTGAGGCTTGATGAACTTTTCAAATGCTTGGCAAAGCCTTTCAACTTTGGCAAAGACAAAGGTTTCCTAAAGCCACAGCAGTATCTGATGAGACACTTAAATCCTGAAGTTGCCACAAACAACTATATCAGGACAACTGTATGGTATCTGGCTCTTTCTGATGTCTTTACCCTAATTGCTCCAGTTATTCAGTCTAATAAAAGTTACAATCAAATTGAAAGAGTAAAGAAGATGGGCTGGTGTATTACAACGAACAAAAGTGCATGCTTAATTTTTGAAGTGTAAGGGCTATCCCTTGACATGTGACCAATGCAAAGATGTGGGGTTCATACCTTCCCTGATCCATCCCAGGCTGAGTGACCTTTGTGTGATGTCCCTTTCATCTGCCTGAAGTATGGTGCTGCAACTTGTATCGTCTTCTACTGCCATTTCAGTCCTAGATTGCAAGTTCATGCAAACAGGCGCAGTTTCTCCAGACAGAGCTTTCCCTAGCCCACAGACTATCCCATCATATTCATGTCATGTGGTACCAGAACCTTTTCAAGGCAGGGTAGCATGAGTACTGCACTTCTCTATGCAGCGAGCCCAGCATTGAAGCACTCGTATCTGGTCGGCCAAAGACCAGAGTTGTAAATGAAGCATCTGAATTCCCACAATTCACAATCTACAGAGTTTACTACTTGGAAGACGCTTTACTACTTTACGCTGCAAGCAAAGAAAACTTTCTAATGTTCATTCTCTGTTAGTTTTACCTATATGTTTTGAATAAAAAGGGATGTCAAGAAAAAAGCATGCAAGATGGGGATGAAAAGACAAGAGAAAGACACAGAAAGGTCAGAAAAATTAATGGAGAAAACCTCCGACCCTTTTTCCGTTCCTTTACTGCTGATATTAATTAAAGATTGTTCATATTCACTGAAGCTGTGAACACACCATGAAATGCAAGCTTTCCCCTTCACATTTTAAAGAAATTAGAACTGAATTCTCTGCCCAGATTCCTGGGACACACCAAGACAAAGGTCTTAGTCCTGACCTCCAGCACAACACAACTAAATTGAACTCGGCTAGCTGATGTGAAACAGAGCTTCCAAAATGCTTGTCACATGAGCTTTAATAAAGCCATGATAAATGCTTCTCAGAACTGAAATAAATGAGAATCCCGGAGTACCCTGAATGTCCAGCCTAAGGAAATTAATGCATCATTAACACTTTTTCATCATACACTATAGGCACAACATTTCTTCTTTGGGAGGATTGTGCCTTCATAATGGTTTTGGGGAGACTGGGAATTAATCTCCCTTCATCTTGATTACTTATTGCCCCCTCCCCCAGTAAGTTCCAATATGCCCTTCACCATTACAGTGCCAGAGTGACTTGCAGCAGTGCATTGTGGTGTGGTCAACCTCTACCATGTGTGCTTTGCTCTTCCTGTGAATGAATTTGTTTTACATATGACTGGTTATTTATGATAATGGCAGGCACTGGTGCAGCTTGTGCTAAAAGCAGTTCCTGTTTCATGGTGCAGCATTAAGACCCTCCTGGGGAAGTTGCATGTCAGGGTTGAATCACTCTCACAGTTCATCACCGCCAAAAGGAGCATGTCCTGCACTCCAGCCCTGCCCTTTCCTCTCCGTCCCAGTCATGCTAACGCACCCTTTCTCTTACATCAGACTCTAATGTTCATCTGAGCCTTCACTGAGCTGATTCAGTTCATTAACTCAGGAGCAAACAATTCACTTTTTTTGTCATGTTAGTTTTCTTCCAGGCCAGTGAATTGAATCTGTCTTGCTCAGGGCCTGACAGGCACTAGACTTGCTGCAGGCCAGGGGGAGCTGGCAGCCAGGAGCAGAGAAGAGGAGCAATGAGGATGGGGTGCAGGATGTCCCCAGTGCAGAGATATGACCAGCTGTTACACGCTGCTTTACCTTCAGCAATCTGACCCTGACTGAAGAAGGTTTCATGGCAGCTGAGGAGTGAAACCACCAGCTGCAGCTCTCCTCCTCGAGCTCTCAGCAGCCTTTCACAAACCCTTACTCCAGGCCATTATGGACCCTGACAACCAACAGGGAGACTTCAAACCTAATCTAATACCCTACAGAAAGCCAGGGCAAAGTAAAGTTGATGCACTCACAACAGATGCTGTTGCTCAAGAAATGCACATCACAGCTTTTTGCTTGTTTTCTAATGGCTAACAATTTCAAGCCATTTCATCACCTGCAACCAACTGGGGAAAAAAAAAAAAAAAAAGGTCTGTTCAGAGTGATGGACAAAGGAGCTAATAGAAGGGTACAAAGTTTGCCATATTATTCATCCTAAAGGTCTTCCTCTTTTTATGCCTATTGCAGATTGCCTGCCCTTCCTTGACTACTCCTGCTCCTTGCCAGCCTTCTACACAACTTCCTCCTATTTGCCTGCCTCCTCATGCACAGAGACCTCCCTAAATATCTCTACAGCTGCTTCAGCCTATTCCTTTTATAAAGCCTCCAAAAGCATTCTTCTGCCATGTGTTTACAAGAAATCAACTATTAATTAAGGGCTGAGTAGCAAAAAGCTAACACTTACATAATTATGTTTGTATTTGTACATGAACATGTATCAAATGCATACTTACCTAAATATGCATAGTATATATTTAATACCACTGTTTTCTTCCTCCCCCATTCATTGCATGCCAGGGCATCAATCTAAACTGCACTGGAGCTTAATTCCTTTGAATTGTTTGGAAATCTCATTTTAAGGTGCAATGCTTTAATACACTGGAGGTTTGCCTAACTCCATCCAGTTTATTCACATAAAAAATAACACACATCACTTAACCTGACTTTGTGTGAGCCAACACTCCCTTCCAACAATGAAAGCGATTTGTTACTTTTTCTCCAACAATAGCTACGAGGGAAAGGTTCCTTTTCCACAGCTGTTTCTTGAAAACCTACCGGTATACTACAATGACTGACAGAGCTTTCAATAGAGTAGGTTGGACACTTATTCATCATGAATTGATCCAAGCCCTTGATAACCTGATAAAAGATGCAGTTGACTGCTTTGTAAAACAGCCAGGATTTCAAAGACTGTGTAAAACAGTGGATAGCATAGCATTTAACCAATTTTCTCAAAGGCAGAGTTAATCTGCATAACTCATTTGTTCAGTGATACTCATCTACATATTAGCCTTACACACAAAATCTGACCTCCGTTACATGTAAGGTTTCAGTTTAATTTTTGGCTTCTCTTCTTACTGTGTTTTGCCTCCCAATCACATTGCTTTAACTTCCTAGCTGAAGTAAATGGGTTCAATTCAGACATAGCAGTTAGAGCTTGTGCAAGCGGCTCCCTTGAAACCTTTCTCTGCCACCACCACAGCATCCGTGATACCATCAGGCCTGGGTAGAGTTACCATCCATAGCAGAAAGGTTTCCAAAAGCCACTCTTGCCGCCTTTTAACTCCTCAGTGCATTGAAGCACTGCTGCTATGTGGGGAAAACCCCTGCTGGAAAAGCAGCTCTGAAGTTACAGAGGAGGAAAGCAGACAGGTCCCTTTAGGTGGTAAAAGAGGTTACGGTTTCCTTCCAATAACAGTTACCGTAGCCTTTGATATTCTATATACTTTATCATTTTCCCCCGCTTTTGTGGAATAGCAGCTGTGATAACACAGAGCTCATCTTCGGCACTGCCCATCGCTGCATGGAGGGAAACCGGTGAGGACGGAGAAAACACTTGTTGGGAGCCCTCAGCTTGCTTCAGCCAGGAGGCACGAGATGAGTCGCCATCCGACCCGGGAGTCAGAGGTCACCCCGCCAGGGAGCCACCGAGTTGTTCAGTCCACTCACAGCTAATCCCCGGTGAGTGCCTCTCACTAAAGGATTTCTTTATTCCGCTGGCTGAAAAAAAAAATAACAACAGAGTTAACAAGCCCAGTAAAAATCCATGACTCAGGCAAATCCTTAAGGATCAAGTGGGGAGGGGGAGGGAACATAAACTAATCCGAGAGTCCAAAATGTCTTTTGCCAAAGCCTTTTAAAACACAAAAACTTCACTGGGGTCTCCTCGTTAGTGGCGATTACAGAGGAGGCATTTCTTTCTTTCTGAACTAAGAATCTCTCCTCAAGAACACAAACAAGGGTGCCCATTGACGTGGTGCAGTGCTTTCTAATCCATCTGACCAGCTGGCTTTGTATATCCTTTATGCATACTGTGGGAGGAGAAAGAAAGGCTTCTCAGGGAGGAGAGCCTCTGTCTCCACGGCGGAAATACTGGTTTTGCTGCTAGATGGCCTGCAGTGCTCCTGGGGAACAGATATAAACTTTTCTTAAATAGAAACACTTACAGGACATGGTTTAGAATATCATCAGTGACTCACCTAAGTTATAAATGATCTTTTCCTTTTTTCCCGCCCTAGAGAAAATTACAAATGTCTCAGACATTATTTCTGCCGCTAGTTTCCGAATCTGAAAACACCAGCCATTAGCTGGCACTGTAACACTGAGCCTTCTGGGGGTTAAAGTAAAAGCATTAGAAGTCACTGAATTCTGGCAGATGCCTCACAAACGAGCATGAGGACAAGCCAGGCCAGCATGTACACTGCAGAGAGAAGCAGAGGTACATGGCGAAGGCCTGGGCGACCTGTCACCACCAGTTACCAGTGCTTGTATTTTGGATACACTTCTGGAGCTGGATGTGGGAGAGGTGCACCCTCAGCTGCTGTCACCCCTTCTGGTGGTTTCTAGCTTGGGGCAGCACCAGTATAAGAGCTCAGTGCTGCAGAAAGCACGCGCTGACCTCCATCCCGGCCCAGCTGTGGGCCACGGCCCCTTCCCCAGGGCACCGTCTCCAGCATTCACTCCTCCTTTCACAGAGCCAATTTCATTTATTGCAGTAGCAATATTGCACCAGGTTTATGTTGCTTTAGTGAGCTGAACCTTGGCACAGAGCTATCCAACACGTGCAGAAACCAGTACAAGGTGACTGCCAGCACCACAACAGCTGGGAGTGAACACGGGCGTGGGGGCAGGATCTTCCCCTTTTCATAGCACTATTATTCGGCTTTGGCTGATTCTGCCTTATGACACCATGCCCCAGGACATATCTTTACCTTCCTACTTCAAGTCCCTAGTCCACTTTTTTTCAAAGCAGCGTCTCTAGAAAGCACTTTGGCTGTTGACTTTCCTGTCCTACCACCCACGCACCTTCTCTTTTTTTTTTTTTCTTCAAATACCAACAACAAACTATAGCAAGTGTTGCACCCAGCACAGCTCTTTTCACTGAAAATTAATTCTTGCAGAAAGAAAATTCAAATTTCTTTTCCAAAGTTTATTTATGGTCATGAATTTGCATGCAACATATTTCAGGAACATCAACTGGTACAGAACCCTGAGCACACCTGAGGCAAATTAATCTGAAATCTTACAGGGGGACACAGCTTTTCCCCAAACACCTCCTCCCCACATAGCCTCTACTCAGTCAGCTCCAATTGCCTGATTTTTTTTGGACTTCAGAACTTTTGTTGTTATGTATCATTCACATAAAATAACACGGCTGTTGTCTCCCTTGCTGTCTCACACCTCATTCTGTTTCGCAGCTCATGTCTTTAACCAAAGAAATCATCTCCATTTTGCTTCACATCTGGGAGCAGAAAATTCTAGCAAAACTCTGACCCCTAACCCTAATTTGAGGGGCACAGGTGTAAGCGCTGTCGGGGGCAGCACCAGTAGGTGCTGCAGCAGCGCTGAGCTGGGTTAGAGCAGGTGCAGGATGAGGCTTGGAGTCAACAGTTCACTGTTTTTTCGAAAGCAGTTAGAACTCACAGCTGTGTTTTGACCAGCTTCCATAACGTGATGCCTACGTGGGAGCCCTTCGCAGACACCACTGCCACTGAGCCCCCAGCAGAACCAGAAGCACGGCAAAGCCTTTGACAGTACACACTTGGCAAGGCTAATGCAAACACAGCCTTTACGAGCTCTGGAGATGTGAGTCAGAGCTCACCTCTTTCTGCAAACTCTTTCCCCTCCCTTCACATCAGAATTATTTCCATCTGCCTGCTGGTGAAAGGTGTCTTTTTAAGCCATATACATTCAGACACTTGGGTTACATCTGGAAGGACTATCCTGCCCTAACATTAAAAACAGTGCAGAAGGGTTCTTTTGAATGGTGCTAGCAAAGGAAAGTCTAAGTTCACGAGCAATTCACTACTCATGTGGTTACTCCGTTCTGTGTTTTCATGGAACAATGTGCCTAATCTATAATAAATCAGAAGGCATGACTGAGAACTTGTATTTAATTCTAGAAATGCTGAAGAACAATTTAATCATTGCTCTGATGGTCCCAATCCAGAGTTGACAGCTCTGAGGATAAAGTCATTTAGCATTGTGCAACGCAGAAGTGAAACAACACAGGGAAGGACTGCATGAGACAGCCTGGGTAGATACACATCTACCAGGAGCAGTCTAGCTATTCTTTTCCTCTTAAGCCAGTTTCCCCTCAAAGCTGTGAGTAAAAGAAACAAAAGGCTGGATACTTAAGACTTTTTAAACATAACTAGTCTGCTTCATTTTTCATGTCTTTCATTTGCTGAGGCTTTGCAATTTGCCTCCAACCTCCCCACTGTGAAGTCCTCAGTCAAGTCAAACCTGTTTGCCATTTGTGTGTGAGTGCCCTTAGACCCAAACCCAGCCAAGAGTTTAGAGTAAACAGACCTACCCAGGGAGGAGCTGGAATTTGAACAGCAAATCATATATGTCCCAAACAATTACTCCCTCTCCAGGTGAGGGAACGCAGCAACATTTCTGGTGTCTAAGCAAATTTCTCTGCAGCAGTTGGAAAGATGGGAGATTGGTCTTTTTTCATCACGGGTAGGGCAGTGCCTTAGAGAGACTCATCAACAACAACAAAAAAATTGCTTAGCTAACTAGTCTGCTCCTTTTGCTTGCCTACTGCTGATTTGTTGAGCTAATATTTTAAGAACAGTGGTTATGTAGGTACATCCTGGAACCACCCTCTTACCTCAACAATCGTGTCCAAATTGTTCTGCTGAGTATCTTGCACAAGACGTGCATAAGTAATGCATTCTGCTTCTAGTGAGTTTGGTTGCTCTAGCTAACGAGGAGCACCACACGGTGAGCTTCCCATACTGCAGAATGCCTCAAACTGCACTGCTTGACATAGGGCTCATCCTTCTTTTGCACAAAGCTGACCTTTCAAAGAAGATTAAACCTAGGCAAGCAATTGAAAAGCCTGAGCAAGCTGAGACCTGGCAACAAAGCCAAACACTAGCACAAAGGAACCACAAAGGGGAAAAAAAAAGGGTAGGAATAAATAGAGAAGAGCAGAGCAGAGACCAGAGAGAGCCTTCAGCGTGGAAAGGTGACAATATGAAGCACTAAAATCACCCCTCTCCATTTCCCTTTCCCACCACCACCACCAGTTTAGGGATGCTCAGATTCAGACCTGTGAACCGTCCTGCTACACATGCACAATGTAATTACATTGGGTAGTCCACTCACCCCTTGATCATTTGAAATGTAAATGACAAGTCTACCTCTGTGGGTAGAGTACATCCCATGCAAGACCTGCACATCCCATTCCCCACAGGAAAACATCTCCTTTCTAGGTTGTCACAGAAGATTTCTCTGAAGACAGGTCAGGGTGCTAGAGGCCAAGGCAGGTGAGCTCTGGAATAAGTATGGAGGGGTATCAATGCCAGGCTGTAAACCAGAAGAGTAACTTCAAAGAGATCTACTGAAACACTGAGCATTGCTCATGATATCTTTTCTGCCTCTTTTCCCAAAGCCCAAGGATTCAGGATTAGTATGCACAGAAATGGAAGAAGATACCAAGATAATGTGCACAAACTACATGGCCCACATTTGTCAGACACATCCTGTTATTCATAAACAAGAACCCGTCACGAATTAAGACAGATAAAAGATTGATACTAGCCAACAATACCTTGATAATCATATAGATAATATGCATGGTTTTCTGTTTTAGAGAGTATGTAAAGTATTAGCTGAAACTTACACGAAAGATGTAAGGAAAGATGGCCAATGGGACTACAAGTTAAAAAAAAAAAATAAAACAAAAAACACTCAACACCTAACATAAAACTCAGAGATGTTGGGAAATACACTAATGAAGGTGGATGGTGCAACCATCATTTACCTCCCTTGTCATTATGAGCTAGTCCTTATTACATGATCACACATTGTTTTTGCCTGGGCTTCTGCCTCATTCAGTGCATAATTGTAATGAAAATGAAGGTAAATGTTTTAATGCTAAATGTCTTGGAAGCTTAATGTAGGTGTCACTGCAGCTTTGCTTATGAGACATGTAGCATATGTTTCTGCCTACACTGAAACACAGTTAAAGCTGAGAAGCATATGTTAAGCACCAAGAATTTTATTCGGTGTGATCGGTCTGGTTATATAATCTCAATCTAGCCTGAGTGATGAGCGAACTTTGGATCTCCGATTAGCTTTGTTGTCAGCAGGTGTTACGCTCTGTTGTGACCTGTTTTAACCACACCTATAATCACACAGTGAGCTAAAGGTAACTCCTGAGATTGTCTTTTATCTTTAATCACTTCCTGTTCACACTTCATTCTGCCAACACCTCCTGTCAGGATTATTGCTGTTTATTTCCCATGAATATCTAAGAATATAATTCATCCTGGCAATAAAGGTTTCCATGCAGTGAGGTATGCTACAGAAGTGACCTGTAGTATTTCCTAAAAGGTTACTTGACTGACTTGTTAGTTGGGAAAATAAACAGGAAGACCTACATTGTCTGTCATAAAAAGCAATAGTATTAGGCGGTCGGAGATCATTGAGGCAGTTATTCCAGCGTAGTTCTCTAGAAATGAGAAAGTCTCATACACAGATTTAAT